GCGTTCTCAAAGGCCAAAACAACAATACAGAGAAATAAAGCCGCTTTCAACTAGTCCACGTTGATTGAAGAATTGGCGGTTCGTATTGGATAATTGTTAATAACCGAGTTTTATGATTGGCTGAAGAGTCATAAAATTAAATTTGAAGTCATGTTACGGTGACGAATAGAATGCGAGGATGGTTACAGCAGTCATGTTGTCAATGTTCAGTTCAGGAACTGATCGCGATTTGAATGTTGGAATTCGATATTGGTGCAGTTATAATTACCTAAAATTCTTGTTATCTGTTTAAAATGTGGCGTCCTTCGACAAGTACTAATAGTAATAACAAGTGTGATAACAACGCAGACTTTTGCCTGTGTAGTGACTCAAATAGCGATGGTGAACAATGCGAAAAAGAGATACCAGTGAATAAAATTCGGATGCATTTGAAAATCGAAACACAGAGAGTATGTTTCAATGTATATAAGAATCTACATCTCAAGTTTGGTTTCTAGGGAAACAAACTATTACTTGAACTATACTTAGTAACTTTTTGGGGGTGAACGTTTCAGTTTGCCCTTCATTGCACTTCAGCAGATTCTTTATTGATTTATTTTTCAAATTGTGGAAGGTTATATACCCAAAAAACAGTAAGAAGTATTGAGTCCTACACAAAAAATGTCTTCTAAAGAATATAAACCCCTCTGTTTTGGTCTCACTTTATTGAATTTACAATTCAATAACATCAAAGGTAAATCCCTCTTTTTTCATCTCTATTGCACTATCTTATATAACATATCAAATGTGGACCAATCTCCTTTGGTCTTTATTTATTGGATTATATTAGTAGAACTGATTTTTTTTCGAATAATTGGGAATAATGTAGCAATTACAAATATCTAATTCTTATATTTCCTTGTTGAAAACATTTGCCTTCATACAAAACGCGAGAACTTTGAACGTAGAAGATGATTGTTGCTCAAGAGACCATTCGAGAGAAAGGAAGAGGCGTTGCTCTTTTGTTTTCCTCATCGAGTTCGGTCTCTCAAGAAGAATGGGTAAAAGTAAGTCTTTGTCCCATATTCCTCGGTATCTGTACCACTGCCGCTGACCGCCATCTTTTTCTGCAGGCGACTAACAATGCCGTAATCAATCCTTGCATTCTTGCTCATATTTCGTAACAAAGAGAGTTATCTTTCAGTTGAAATCGGCTATTATTTGTTTTTTTATACCGTATCGACATCGGTCGTTACACGGACTAATTGGCCGATTCGTGGTGGTACAGGGTGAGACAAAAGTAGCGGGTTTTGTTTACTGGTGGTTAAAATTAACATCAGTATTCGACTGTAATTATGTTACAGTTTTAATGAACAGTATTTTGTTCGGAAAGTACTAGTAGTATATATAATCAAATTGACTGATACTCGATGAAAATCTATGATGATGGATGCAACTAACATCAGCAATATGGCCTATATTCGGCCAAATCTGTTGTTCCCCATACACAAGTTGCTGATTTTTGTGAAAGTATTGGCAACCATAGATACGTTTCTGATATAATTGGGAATATTGAAGAAGAGAAGATGAAGATCACTGTCAACGGCGTGCACTATACGTCAATAATTACCAACTTCTTTTGGCCTGAATTGAATTATCTACACACCAACGACATGTGGTTTCATCAGGACGGTGCCACAGAGCTCATGCCACATTGGATATTGTGTACGAGCGATTTGAGGGCATGGTCATCTCACGTGGAGGTGATGCGATCTGGCCACCGAGATACTCCGATTCGACCCAGTTAGACTTTTTCTTGTTTGGATTCCTTGAGTCGCAGGTATGTGCGAATAAGCCACAAACCACAGCGGTCCTCAAAGTCAACATATCCCTTGTCATCGGTCAAATTCAGCCTGATTTATGTGCCAGAGTCATGGAAAATTTGACGTTTCGGATGCGGTTCACCCAATGAAGCCGTGGCAGACATTCGTACGATGTTATTGGGGAATGCAACCTCGTGAGATTGGGGCTCAGGCCAATTTGGAGATCTCAAAAGATTGGCAGTTTTGTGTATTTATTCTTGAAAATAATCAATATTTGAATGACTCAAAAAATTAGTTAGATTAATACGTATTATGAAATAAACATTTATTTTTACGATTTTTTTTCAATAAACTTTTATGTATTTGACATTGACGTATATATCTCCAATGGAATTTCAAGTAGCAAACGAAATAAACAACCAGTACCCTCTTCTAATATCAAACAAAAGTATTTTAATGATAGAACAGATAGAACAAAACAACAAGAAGACATAAACTTAAATGAAACTCATTGACTATTGAATTGAGATATTATNTTGAAAAAAATACTGCTATAATTTGTCTTTATAGATCGCCCAGTAGCAATATAAATTTGTTTTTTATTCAACTGTCCCGTTTACTGGCGAAAATTACGGAAATATATGAAAATGTATTTATATGCGGATAGTTCAACATTGATAGTTCAATGAGAAATATTAACACAATAATACTCTGTGACATGATTGAATCATATGGAATGATATCTCTTTTCGATGAGCCAACAAGAATTGGACTACGTAATGACAAACATCAGTAGAGACAGTTTAATCCTTAGTAATTCTGATGTAGGCTTATCTGATCATCATTTACAAACTGTTTTCTGGAAAAATACAATTAAAGGTATAACCACTAACGTTAAAGAAGCTGTCATAACTTGTGAACTTCGTAAAATTACCGATCTCTCCATAGTTGAATTTAAAAAACTTTTCACAGGAGACATGGAGTTTCAAAAAAACTTCACTACTGCCACGTTTACCAACATAAACGAAGCTTTCAGTAACTTCTGGGAACATTTTCATTGGTGCTTTGAGGCAGCATTCCCTAAATGTTCAAGAAATACAACCTCTAAGCAACAAAATAACAAAATTGTCCTTTCTACTCCGCTAAAGAAAAAAATTGAAGATCATAGGCACCTGAATTATCTGAAAAAATACAAGAACTCGGACACTAAAGACACTGCTTATAAGACAACAAAGAAAAGCGTAGAAATTGTAATTCGCCAGGAAAAGATAAATCATGAAAAAGTAAATGAGTCTAGCAATAAAAGCAAAACTCTTTGGAGTATAATCAAGCAACCATGTAGAACAACTGAGAGTAAACGTATAATCCTGAATCACAATCAGAAATGTATCAGTAATGAAGTAGAACTCGCGAAAAAATTTGGAGAATACTTTTAACCATAATTGACAAAAAAATCAAAACACATTTTTCGGGTAATTACTCTGACAGCTGCACAACAATGGTGAATGTTACTACAACGATGTTTTTCAAACCCGTAACAACAAACGAAGTAAAAAAGTCATAGCCTCATTACCTTATAAAAAAAGCACAGGGCATGATGAGGTCTCTACAAAAATTATTAAAGAATGTGTAGATATATTATCAGACTAAATAGCGCATATTATGAATTTATGTGTTGGTTTTGGAGAATATCCTGATCTTCTCAAAATTGCCATTCTAGTACCCGTATTGAAAAATGGTGACAAAAAGAGTATCGGAAATCATCGTCCTATATCAATTATCAGCGTACTCTCAAAAATTTTGGAAAAACTAATATCTCTCAGAATAAACGACTACCTCGAAACCTTCGATCTGATGACAGAGTGCCAACATGGATTCAGGAAAAACTACTCAACAGAAACCGCAACGCTAAATTTCACACAACACATACATGATTCAATTGACGAAAAAAATATTGTTGTAGGAGTCTTCTTTGACTTGAGCAGGGCCTTCGACACTTTGAACACTAAATTTGTAGCAAACAAACTCTTCAACCTTGGGATTCGTGGTAATGTAAATCAATTAATTGATTTTTTTTTTGGCGAATATATGTTTCCAGGTAAAGCAGAATAACATCAAGTCGGATAAATTTTCAGTTACAACAGGTACCCCTCAGGGCAGCGTTCTTGGGCCACTAATATTCTTATTATACGTGAATGATCTTTCTCTCAATCTAAGTTATGGAGAAATATTTCTCTATGCAGATGACACGTCTATGATTCTGTCTAGTAAAACATCTGACGATATGACACAAATGGTAAATGCTGTTCTAATCGAATTTATGGGTGGAGTAACAAGAACAGACTCATTGTCAACCAGAACAAAACGGTATACATGCAATTCGCGAATTCATCGAGAAGTCAATATAATCTCAATCTCACATTGTATTCAAAGTCTTCGTACCGAAAAACAACTTGGCCAAATATATATTATAAATCAGATTTTTGAATTTCATTCAGATATAAACTATCCCTTAGAGCCCCTAAATAAATTATCACTTGCATATTCTTACACATTGTATTCAAAGTCTTCGTACCGAAAAACAACTTGGCCAAATATATACTATAAATCAGATTTTTAAATTTGAGTCAGGTATAAGCCATCCCTTAGAGCCCCTAAATGAATTATCACT